TCATTGGCCTGAGGCATAAGGAAAGTTCGCCCCGAACTGGCAGGGGCCATTTGTCGTAACCAGGGTGTTGTCCAACGGCGCATTATATCTGACCGATGTGGAGGGGAAATGTGTAGAAATGGCTATCAACTCTGATGCAGTCAAGAGATATTATGTATGATCTTCTTTGTTTTAATTATATTTGTTTGTACTTGGCATGTTTTGAAGATTGGAATGACGAAGGCATGTTGTTCTGCTATCCAAACACTTTATCCTTTGTTACCACCTTTGAGCCTCATTCATTTTCTTTCATACCCCTCTTTCGGAATCAGTAGCAAAGATCAGAAACACAAGCATGAAAGATAAGTCAAGAAAAAAGAGAAAAGAAAAGAATGAAAAGAAAGAAAAGAAAAGAAGAAGAGAAAAGAAAAGAAAGAAAAAGAAAAAGAAAAGAAAAAGAAAAAGAAAAGAAAAAGAAAAAGGAAAAAAAAACAACAAAAGAGAAAGGAAGAAAGGAAGAAAGAAAAGAAAAGAAGAGAAAATGGAAGAAAAAGAAAGGAAAAATCACAACAACAAAGTAATTCCTATGGCATGAACTACGTTTGACTTGATCCCGAAAGGGTATGTAGGCAGCCTCTCTCTGAGGTTCAGTCACACCAAAATAAAAATCCAAAAGTCCCCAAGAATGAAACTGGGGCGGAAGTTGTGGTTGCCGTGAGAAATCTGTTTCCGAAAGTTGTAATTTTAAACCCATGTTGAATTGTTTTGAGCCTTTGATACTCTTTCTTTCTAACCCTATCCAAAAGCCTACATTACAGTCCAAAGAAAGACCTTCTGATCAGTCTTCAAGATGTGTCAAGACGAGCAAGTAAAAGTGATTCATGTCAGGGGCAACATTCCGGTACAAGAAGAAAAATGATAAAAATGAGAGAGTCTTATCGGTGAAAACCCTCACGGGCACCGTAAGGTGACGGGAGATGAGAGAAATAAAAAATGAGAGAGTTTTATTGGTGAAAACCCTCACGGTCACCGTAAGGCGAAGTGAGTTGAGAGAAACTAAAAATGAGAGAGTCTTATTGGTGAAAACCCTCACGGGCACCGTAAGGCGAGGGGGAGTTTTCAGACGGGCAAGTAAGACAAGTCTATGGGTGAAAGCTATTCAAGACATTGCAAGATGAGCGAGGTTAGGGTTTGGGTGAAAATCCGGTTGTGAAAGTGCGGAGCAATGAATGTGGCAATTGAAAGTTGATTGGTTGGACAGATTGGGCCGGTTAATCCAAAATGCATGGCATGATCAATGGTACCAGCTGTTCTACTCAGATAAGTCTTCTTCTCCTTCTTCGTTACAAATCGTCCGTTTTTGGATTCTCTCTATCCTTAACCCTCAAGGTCATTGCATTTCATTCTTTTGAGGTCTGTTCTTTAAGATGTTTCAGTGTCAGTTCTGTTTGAAAAAAAAGGGAGGGATGTCAAGGCTAACTACCAGTTTCCCAGTTGCAAAGCACAACAGGGCCGGAATATACCAAAGATGTCAAACGCAAAGTAAGACACAAAGGACCACCGGAAGTTTCACCGGTGGATTGATTAGACAGTTTTGCGGGTGAAGCAAAGTTCCAGATAGAGGGGTCAGAAACACAAAAAAAACAATATGGGACAGAACACTTGGATCATCAAAGTCAGGGGGTTGAAAGTCGGACAGGAAGTCGAGGCGATTCAAGGCAAGTCCAGGGAAGCAAGTCGGAGTGAAGCTCAGCGGCAGGGATGTGCCTAGCAAGAATGCCAGCAACTAACCACCATTTTATATTAACAGGGTCTTTCTTTGATTGAAACGGGGGCAGAAGTTTTGTTTGCTTCGGAGAAACCTTCCGTAAGGAAAGGCAACACTCAAACAGGTATGACTGGAAATTCTCAGGGCCCTCCTGGAAAATGGGACTTAGTTTAAATGTCAAAACAATCATGAGTAGCATAATTTAGCATAAATGTACCCTAAAAGAGCATAAATGGGTTTCAAAATTGGCATGTTTAAGATAGGATTCAATTAGAAGTTTTCAGGATCCTCCTGGATAATGGGGCGTAGTTTTAAGGTCGGTTTAGATAACAAGATATAGTGGAAGTCGTACCTTTAGTAGATATAACTCAGGTCAAAACTGTCTTTTAGCTAGAAGTTGTCAGGACCCTCCTGGATAACGGGGAGTAGTTTAAAACCTTTTTGATAACAAGTGTAGTGGGAGTAATACCTTTAGAAAATATAACTTAGGTTCGTAACTGTTAGGAGTTGTCAGGACCTCCCTGGATAATAGGACTTAGCTTTCAAATTCTTATAATAGTTGGTAGAATAATTTAGTTTAACACTCACATCTGTGCCCAGCCACCAAACTGGGGCAGAAAATGTTCTTTGTTTTCTTTATTTTGTTGAAATCAGGCGCCCACCTGGAGAACAAGGGAATATATTTCAAGTCTTAGCAATCAGGCGGCCACCTGGAGAACAAGGGAATATGTTTCAAGATCAGCAATCAGGCGCCCACCTGGAGAACAAGGGAATACGTTTCAAGTTCAGAAGTCAGGCGCCCACCTGGAGAACAAGGGAAGTACCATGTAAATTTTAGCTTTCAGATTTTAATATTTGGTAACATTACGCGCCCAGATACCAAACTGGGGCAGAGGATTTGCTGTGTTTGTTTATTTTGTCGAAGTCAGGCACCCACCTGGAGAACAAGGGAATACATTTCAAGTTCAGCTGTCAGGCGCCCACCTGGAGAACAAGGGAATACATTTCAAGATTAGCAATCAGGCACCCACCTGGAGAACAAGGGAATACATTGCAAGTTCAGCAGTCAGGCGCCCACCTGGAGAACAAGGGAAGCACAATTCAAATTTTTAGTTGTATTTGATAACATGATGTGCCCAGCCACCAAACTGTGGCAGAAAATTTTCTTTGTTGAAATCAGGAGCCCACCTGGAGAATAAGGGAATACATTTCAAGTTTCAGTAGTCAGGAGCCCACCTGGAGAACAAGGGAATACATTTCAAGTTCCAGCAGTCAGGAGCCCGCCTGGAGAATAGAGGCATATATTTCAAGTTCTAGCAGAAGTCAGGAGCCCACCTGGAGAACAAGGGAATATCTTTTAAAGTGTTAGCAGTCAGGAGCCCGCCTGGATAACGGAGGCATATATCTCAAATTTCAGCAGTCAAGCATCACTCGGAAGAATGGCGAAACATCTCTGATCACAATTCAAGGCAACAACGTAAGAATTCCATCGGAAGGATACAAGTTCGAGACAACAAGAACAGCAAGATGAAGACATAGATAGGACTTTTGTACTTCATAGATCATAGCTTAGGATAGCCTCTTTTATTTTGACATGGTGTAATAAGGGAGGTCAGCAAGCAGTAGCAGCAGCAACGGCAGTGAAATCACAACTTTATGGTAGTCCCAGCTACCAGACATTCCTGAACTACACTGACCTGATTTCTTTTTAGCCAAGGATATGTACGCAACCTCAGAAGCAAGGTGCGGTCAAATCTTTCAAAAAATGCTTCACACGGAGCATTCGAACGGGCAAAAATCGCTCGAATTCGCTCACTTATCTTTGCACGAAAACTCTTCGTGTTCCCGAGCAAAGAGGGGCAGCTGTGAGCACATGATTTTTGCCCTATATGAATTACTCCCAGAAATTCAAACAAAATAATTTCTTTCATTATTTTGCAATTTTGTGGATTTTTGCGACATTTTATGTTAATTGTTTGTATTTTATTTGCGCATTATAATTCATATGAAAAATATAAAAAATAATACACTCGACAATTGCATTTAGGATTTAATTTCATATTTTAGGATTAATTAGTAGTTAAGTTGTTTTTAAAACAAAATATAAAGAAAATGTCAAAAATGGTTCTTTTTCGCATTTATAGTTAATTTGTCTTAGTTTGCATTTAAATTAGGAGTTAGTGTAATTGGAAATTAAGAAATATAATTTTAGGGTCAATTTGGTTTTTGGTTTTTAATTTAGCATTTAATAAAAAATCAGAAAATAAATACAAAATGAAACAAAAAGAAAAAATGAAAATGAAAAGAAAACCATTAAGGAAGGGGCTGTTTTGACTCGAATTGGGCTATTTCAATTAATTCCGCCTGGCCCAAGCCAAAAATCACCCCCAGTCCATGGCCCAATTCCCCCTACCCGGTCCGTCTCCCAGTGTGACCGAAACGACCCCGTTTCATCAGGGGAAGATCTTGGCCGTCGAGGTTGATCAGATCAACGGCCAGGAACTGGGGAGTCATTAATATTTAATNAGTGCCTCCACTTTTAGTGAACTTAAAGGTCCATCCTTAACCAACCTTGAAATTCTGTTTAGATTTATATGACCCAAATGCAAGTGCCATAATTATGTTTCACTCAATTCAGAAAAATATTTTCTCTTATTTGGTAAAGAATATAATTAAGTTCTTTAGGTTGTAACGTTTTAGGAATAGAGCTAACAATAAAAAGACCATTGATCAATGTAGACAAAGAGAGATAACGTTTATTATGACTAATAACACATTTATCAAAATTATAAAAATTAATTTCATAACCATCTCTCATAGTGCTAGAAACCAAAATTAAATTCCTTCTAACGAAAGGTACATATAATGTGTCCTTTAAAGCTAGTACTCTATCACTACCAAACGAAATACTAATATTTTCTAATGCTAAAGTTGGGGCTGCCAAACCATCTGCTTGATAAACATTGATTTCTCCTCTACTTAGCCGCCCCGTTACCTGAAACCTTTGCAAATAAGTGCATACATGACTAATGACTTCCGAATCTACACACCATGACATGGTAGAAATAACTTCTAAAAGAGTTTCAACGATAAGCAAATGTAAATCACAAAGTTTATTATTCAATTTGGCCAGATAAGCTGGAGATTGCTTCTTATGATGCTCAGGCTTCTTGCAGAGATAATACTTGCCCTTAGCCTTTTTCACACCAGCAGTTGCGCCACCAACAGAGGGTTTTTGAGTCTTTTTCTTCTTCTACCACCCTCTCGGCTTAGAAGAAGCAGAAGAACCTACATCAAAATTCAATACCACAGGAGGAGCTTGTTGCTTGACAATAGTCTCTGCCAACTGCAGCTCATTCAGCAATTTTGCAAGTGACAAATCCTTTTTGTGTTATAATTCAGGCGAAACAGATAAAAACTGTCAGGCAGAGTCTGCAGGATCATTTCAAACTGCGTATCCTTATCAATGTTAGCTCCAAGGACCTCCAGTTTATTCAAAAGACTCATCATCTTCAGAATATGGTCCCTAATAGATGAACTTTCAACCATTTTGGTATTTAGAAGAGCTTTCATGGCAGTCTGTTTAGCCGCACGATTCTGATCTCCAAACATTACTTTGAGATTTTTCCGGAATGTCATAAGTAGACTCCATGGACTGACCCTGATGTTGCAGAACATTTGACGTAGACGCCAGAATGTAATACCACGCCATCTCATCAACCTTAACCCTTTTTTGTAAGCTTTCTGTTCATCATCTGTAGCATCATCTCAGGTTTTTTTGGACACACCTCAACGAGCACAAATTTATACTCTTCAACAATTAGGACAATATCCAAGTTTCGTTTCCAATCAACATAATTCGGACCCTCAAGTTTGTTTTGAGTAAGAATATCATTAAGGGGATTGAAAACAGTCATTGTTAATCTGAGAGATAATTAAATAAATAGATCAAAATCAGCCATTTATTATTGAATATTAAAATTCAAAACACACTACATACGTATAATCCATGCACCTTGAACAACAAGTTTCGATGGAAAAATAGCTATTCTTGCAATATACATATGTAATGACAGATTATTCACTTCATGAATTTAAACAGGCCATACTCATATGGAGAGTAAACTGTTAATTTAAGTCAAGTGAATATCAACATTCGATATACTAGTCTCATTGAACCAACATGCATACTCAGATGGAAAGTAAATACAAGTAATCAACAACTAGTATAACCTAGTGATCATCTATAATGAGTTTATCCGATATGGAAGAAGACCTACGTCAAGGTGTAAAATCATTATGTTACCAGAATTTAACCCTAAACGATCCCTACCACCACTGGATTAAAAACAACTCAAAAATATTTTTCGAAAAATTTCCAGAAAATTAGAAAAACGTCCAATTTTCTAAACACCATTTATTTTACCGTATCATATTTACGTGTAAATTAAACAATTAGCACATATAGAGATTATTTGAGTTGCCTCTTGAAGCATGAACAAAGCAGATTAATCTCGGTCCCCAGTTCCAGAGTTGCAAGACCGCGACCTCAGCAAAACCTCCACAGTCTTCTACCGCGTTACCCAAATAATATCTGAAAAGAGAGAATTTTGGGTGGGAAAAATTCCAAGGAACAAAAACGTGTAAAACCAGTGCAAAAAACGGTCAGCCATATATGAAGTATATATAGCCACATTTTTTAGGTTAAACCCTTTTCCAAAACCTGTTAGGTTTTCTTCTTCCTCTAAGGAAAGGCTTCCTTTATTTCCTATTATTTAGGCACAGTAGGAATTAGAGAATTTAATTAATAAGGCTTTCTATTATGAAATTAATTTCGAAATTTGAAATTCATTTCTACCACAATAAATTACGAATTATTCCACTAAAAATTTATAATTGCACTCCGTAGTACAATTTCAAAAATCTTCCATAAAACCTTATTTAACTCCCCCTGTTAAGATTCAGTTACTAACTAATCAAATTAAATTACTGATAATTTAATTTATTGATTACTTCTTTTAGACTTTCCCTTAACTATACAAAATCCACCGACCAGGTTTACACATAAAAGCTTATAAGTTCATAAAGGAGTATCACCAATCTAAAAAAACGATACATGGATTCTATCAACTAATTATTACTTCGCCAATATATATCATTATTGTCCAATTTTCCAAGCTTATTGATCCACGAAAGAATCTCGCCTTTTTATAATCAAAACAATAAATGACACACACAACTAATAATAATTATATCAATATTAAGAGTATAAGTACATTGAATGGATTAGAGAAATTATTTTATTAAGTCAGTATAAAATACTTATCTCTACTTGATCGGTTCAATACATACAAAATGTACTAGCACAAGAAGTCGAAATTAAATCATTCCCACAATCAAGATAAATTATATTTAATCTTGTGCTACAACCATTCCGATGGTCTATCCAATTCCATCATTAAATTGTGAACATAAACTTTATGACTTATAAGAATCGATGATTTAATCTTTCGTATATAAGCTAAACTCTATACACTAAATCATCTAATATATAAGCAACGGACGCACAGACAAATACATGATCTATTTGAAATAAGTTTTTATTGAATTGAATAAACAAATAAACAATTGTTCTATAAAAAAAATACTATAACAATACGCATGGTTTATAATATATCCTAACTAGGGGTGTTCATAAAAACCCGAAAAACCGAACCAACCCGAAAACCAAACCAAACCGACTAAAAAAATTGATACTTTTTGGTTTGGTTTAGTTTTGGTTTTGAATTTTAAAAACCGATCAAATTTGGTTTGGGTTTAGTTTTAATCAGAAAAAACCGAAAAAATCCGAACCAAACGGACTATAGGAGTAGCTATTTTAAATTTATTATTACACCTATATATATGTATATTTTTATATAAAGTTTCAAAAATTTATGGTAAATATTAATAATTTACACTTTTATTATAGTTCTTTACCTTTACATTCTAGTTTGATTGGTAGTTTTCTTTTGTTAACTGTTAAAATCCATTTTGCGTTAAAAATAATATATTTTTAATTGAGTCCTTAAATTATTCATCACTATTTGATTCAACTATCATCAATATATCTTGGTAAATAATAGATTTCTCAAAGGGCAATTGATTTGATAGTGTGTAATGTTTAAAATGCTTGTCGCCGAATATGTGTTTGGTAGTATATGTCTTATATTTAAGAAAAAACTTAACAAATAACTCGAACAAACCGAAAATCGAAAATCCAACAGTAAACCCGAATCGACGAAAAACCGACTAATTGGTTGGTTTGTTCTAATATTTTGAAAAAACGACTTACTTTGGTTTGGTTTCTTTATTTAGGAAAAAATCGATTCATAACCGAACCATGAACACTCTTAATCCTAACATACGTATCTTCGGGAAGTCCATTGATTTGTTCAAAATCATCCTTTAGGCATATTTAATGTTTACTCTAATTATTGATTCCAATTCTTCAAAAGCATCCTTGATAAACATCTTTTCAATTGAAGGAACTCTATCTTATTTTTTTTATTATTTAAGATTATTTTTATCTATACTATAGAATAGTTATATAAAATGTATAAATAACTTTTTATGTATCCTTCCTAATATTTAAGTAAATTGAGTAATGTTTATATCATATAAATGAATTTAATTGCTTTAGTTACATTAAATTAAACAGTTGAGTGAGCACATACCACTTTGGTACACCTTTTTTGTATAGGACTAGCCATGTTTTTATAATTTAGCTTTTCCGTTTTTCAATACATTAGGATTAGGATCACACAAATGTTTCCTATAATATCGAAAGTTCCTTGGACAATAAACTTGTCAACGCTTATCTGTTTTTGTCTCTTCTCCAGAGTCGAAACCCTAACTTCATCCCAAACGATGGCAACTCGTGATGCCTCTTTTCTGGACGACTTGACGGATTGTCCGATAATGAAAAGAATCTGCTGCGTTCGGCGCTTAATTATGATCGACTAGAGATACTTTTTCAAGCTGCGAAAATCACGTCGCTACATTGAGACGATGCAGAAAGTTGAATATGCCGATTGAGTCTGACGACAAACATAAATCAGGCGGTGTAGATGATCCCGAATACGATCAGAAGTTGATAATAGACTGTAATATATATCAGTTGACATTGGAAATGAAATTGTTTTAATCCACAATTCATACGCGATCAAGTATCAATTGAAAGTTCCTGAGTTAGAGTCATTTGTTTATCACCCAATTGATTATGCCCGGGTTATTAAAAAAAAATTGGCCACGAGAGGGATCTGACTATCTTGCTGCCGACTTGAAGGACTGGCTACCCTCAGCTATCATCACGGTTTTCGCTCGCTGGGACTTGGAAAGGCAATAGAAAGCATGGGGATAGAGCCCTTCTATTCTCATTCAACTAAGCAAAAGGCTTGTGCATTTTGTCAAGAGTCGAATGGGATATATTGTTCCTTCCAGAATCTCCTCTGCTCTGTATTGGGAATGCAGTTGCTGCCTAACTATGGGCAACTTGCTGGTGGTCTCTCGTCTGTCAACAATTTGTGGTTTTCTGATGTGCTGTTTTGGTGCAAAACGAGAATGTTCTGGACAATTTTATGTTGTGCAGGAGCTTGTTTGGCAAAAGTGAAATATTTTCGACTAAACTCCACTCTGCTTTAGGTCGCTAGCTGTAAAACTGCTGCATCAACTCATAGTAGCGGCTAGTGTTGACGTCGCCAGAATGGATATCCACTGGAATAATATGGAAAAGTCTATTAGGGAAAGGCATCCGCAAAAAGTTAGAGAAATGTCAAAGCAGCAGTTGCTGACAAAGTTCAATTTGCAGAAGAAATTAGGGATACTACTATAATGTAGCATAAACTTTTGCAATAATATTGGATTTTCTTTTTCTTTACTGGTGTGTCTTGCTAGCATTATATATAATTTTTGTCTCTACATGCGAGATTTTACTGATGGATTTAGCAACTTTTTTGATTCTGCTGTCAGCATGAAATTACAGTCTTATCTTTTTTGTTTTGTTTTAATTACCGAGAAAACCATCAAGGCCAGTGGCCAAGGTTCTAAAGTATTGGATAATGGGCCACCTCAATGAAATGTCTCTTAATTTCTCTGTGATTCTTCTCCATTGTAGCATCAGATTGGAACTTCAATGAATGGTCTCTAATTTCTTGTGATTCTTCTCCATTGTTAGCATCATATTGGGACTCCAAGATGCAACCTTTACCAATGTTTTGAAGTAAAATGAAACATGTCAGTTCTTTTAACAGTAACCATGTATTTGCGGTTCTTTGACGTTACACATGGATCACAAGAAAAGAATGATTCAATGAATAGTACGTGCCTGAATCAGCTGTAACTCTGTGCAACAGACCATGGTGAATGTATATCAGATATCGATGTACAAACAATACAATGGCTCCAAAAAAGACTACGTGGTATCTGGCATACTGCGTTTCATTTTCTTTTACAGTTTCACAGGGGTAATTATAAGCTTCCTTTGAAGGTATGCTTGTAATCTCCAGATAGAAACTCTCCAAATTTATTGCACTTCTGTAATGAACTGTCAAAAGCTCTAAACTAGTTACTGATTATGTTTACATGAAGTAAGGCAATATTACTGTTGTAAGCATCTCTTGTCCTGTGTAGCAATAATCTTCTACACACGCTACATGTACGCACGCCTAAATATAAGTTTCTCTTCACCAATCCTAGGAAATGATTCAATGAAGCAGTAGACTGTGTAGAAGGGGTAGAGAGAGCCTTCATTCCGGGTTACGTAAACCACTTCAATCTTTCAGTAATCTAATAATTGTGAGGCTCTAATTTCTTGTACTGACTGTAGATCAAACATCCTGGGGTTCAGATTGATGATGACTAATATCCAATCTTGCAA